GTACAAAGTCACATTCAAAGCATGCGATCGCGACGACACTCGGTGGATTTCAGGCGCATATTTGAAAGCATCCGCACCGCTGATCTACGTGCATTATGAAAAGCGGAGGTTAGCTCAGGAAGCTTCACGACCAGCCCCTCCCACCCGGATTGTGGTCCCTCCCTCAGACAGACAGCTTCGCCCTCGCAGGTAAGCTCGGTTCTTCAAGGAGGGGGGGGTGTGGCATACTGCGTAGCCACACGGGCCCTGCAGGGCCCGTCCCGGACATTCAACCTAAAAGCCTAAAACTTAGGGCTTACAGGCCCCGGTCGTTTCAGCCTGAAAGCTGAAAAACGAGGGCCTGCAGGCCCTACCCCGTTTCAGCTTATTTCTAGGTCTTTTCAGACCCAGAGTTTTCAGCCTGAAACGGAGGGCAATTTTCAGGCCCTCATTGTTTCGACCTGCCCCTAAGACTCAGGCACGTAAATAGGGATGCGGAACAGGCTAGAAATAGCCTGTTCCTCACGAGTTTGAGCAGGAGCTGCAGCTGGAGCCTCCCTTCGGCAGGCTCAGGAGGCACACCCGTAATACATAGGAAGTTCCCATGCACTTCACGGGTAGGTAGTGTTCAGTAGGCACGAGTAGTCTTCAGGATTTCGGCCGCAGCACTCAGGAGGAGCGCTGCAGTAGTCTTCAGCGCTAGGTAGGATTAGCGCTAGCTGTAGTCTTCGGCGTTGGGCGCCATAGCTGTAGTTGTACTCTTCAGCGCTGGGCGCTGGCACGTGGTAGATCATAGAGTGGGAGAGAGACTGGCGGAGGCCAGTGTTACTTACCTGTGGCGCCATCGCTCCAGCGTCGAATGCGAAGGCATGATGTGTCATAGCGCAAAGATCAAGTCTTCGCGAGAGTGCATCTGCTGCGCGATTGGAGASGCCGGGGACATGCTTCGGTGTGAAGTCAAATTGGTCGATGAAGTACATCCATCGTCCGATCGTGCTGCTCACAGTGTCCTGCGTCTTGTAGTAGGTCAGTGGATTGTTGTCTGTGACCCATGTGAACCTACGACGCCCAAGGAGGAAGTGCCGCCAGCGCTTGAGAGCCATCACGAATGCGAGCAGCTCCTTCTTCCTTGCATCATCAAGCGAGTTGATGGGAGGCACTTTGTGGCTGAAATACTCCACAGGGTGCCAGTCGTCGCCGTCGTGGTGTTCCAAGACTGCCCCAATTCCATAGCTGGAAGCGTCCGTAGTCACTCGCGTCGGTAGGGTGGGGTTATAGATGCTAAGGACGGGTGCCATGAGCATGGCCATCTTAAGTGCTTGGAATGATCAACGTGCGTCGTCATCGAATACGAATGGCACCTTTGGCGACTGTAACCTCGTCATAGGTGCAGCAATCCTGGAGTATCCGGTGATGAATCGCTGATAGTAGCCCGCCAATCCCATGAATGAACGAACGTCCGTGGTGTTGGTGGGCTCGGGCCATACTCGTAGGGCCTCGATCTTGTCCGCAAGCGGACAGATGCCTTGCGGCGTCACATAGTGTCCCAAGTGCTCCAACTCCTGCTGTGCGAACTCGCATTTGTCGCGGTTTGCTTTGTACTTGGCCTGTTGTAGACGCTCCAAAACGGTGCGCAAGTGTTCCACATCCTCGTCCAAACTCCGACTATACACCAAGATGTTGTCGAGGTAGATGAGTACAAACCGATCCAGCATGTGTCGGAACTACGTTGTCGTAGCTGCTTGGAAAGTGGTTGGGGCATTCGTAAGGCCAAACGGCATGACCAGCCATTCGAAATGCCCATACCGAGTCTTGAACGCGGTCTTGTAGCGATCCTCCTTGCGAATCTCGAGTTGGTGGTACCCTGACTTGAGATCCAGCTTAGAGAAGAATTGGGCGCCGCCTAGTCGCTCGAGAAGGTCGTCGATGCGTGGGAGAGGGGCGGCGTTCCTGATCGTCTGCGCGTTGAGCTTGCGATAATCGATGCACAACGGCAGGTCCTTGTTCTTCTTCCGGACGAAGAGAACAAGAGCACCGTATGGCGATGAGCTAGGCCGAATCCAGCCTTTCTCYAGAAGGTCGTCGAGTTGTGCCCGAAGCACACTTAACTCTTCCTCGCTCACTCGGTAGATGCAACCGCGCGGAGGTACGGCCCCGTCCTCGAGGAT